GGGGAAGAATCTGTTTGCATCGCGGCATCTCCGCCTTTATGGCATTTGGTCAAGAGTCTGCTCAAACAAGTTTGTCGTTTGGGTTTTTACTTTTGAAAATCATGCTGTCACCTATAGTCCAGATTCTTAACCCAGAAATTCTTTACGGCTGTTGTGGCCATCTCGGAGCATAACGGCAGGCTGGGTGTGTAACAAGGGGGGAGACGTCTTCGTAGGTCTTGACAGTGATTCCCGTACCCGTCCTGACATCTGAATTTAAACTCGGCTGCCTTGCGTTACTGCGCTCCTGACGGGACTGCCCGACTGACGTTTTCCAGCTCTTCCCTTCTCCCTCAGCCGGTCGCAACGCAGACGCGAGGTTCCTGGCGTGGGGCTGTGTCGGTACCGCAGGCGTTCCTGAGGCCCGGCCGGCGGCCCGCCCCTGCTCCGAAACATCTGCAGACCTCCGCTTACCGCTCGCAAGGAATTTGCATAGCACCAGGAATACGCGTACCACGATTTCTGATTTCCTGGCCTAGATTTGACTTGTGAGGTCAAAGGGAAGCGGCGTGCACGCGCAGGCCGTCCCGTGCCCGCCTACGGCGAGCAGTGAAGGCTCCGACCTCGGACGTGAGCGCCGACACCAAGAAGCGACAACATTGTGGAGTGAATACCGATAGCTACGTGCCAGATCTTGATCAGTTCTGAACAACTGGTGCTCCGGTGTACATTTCTTTGAAATAATAGGGTCTATGCGACGAAAAAAAAAAAATCTTTCCCCGAGTAGCTGTTCTCTAACCGGGCCCCCAGCCACCCCACCCTTCGTTCAGTCACTAATTAGCCCTGTCTGCACAATTTCACATGCAGGTGACGTGGCTTCATCACGTAAGCTTTGTAACGCTTTGCACCGCCGCAGTCCACGCGCGGCGGCACTCCCATACGGATCAGCACGCTTTCCGGGATTTCCGGCATCTCCCCGTGACGACGTCCCTTCCCTCCTCCCGCGGGCACCCACCGGCACCCTCCCGTGCCTCGCCTTCCTGATTTCTCCCCCTTTTTCTGTTTTTTTTTTGGTGTGTTTTTTGGACACCTGTGGCGTGACGCTTAATTTCGCCGCGAGCCCGGACCTCACGAGCCGCCTCGGCGGCCCCC